GGAACAAAGGTTAGTGGTTGATTGTCACGGTACTGATGGTCAGCAGACACGAAAAAGGAAGAGTCAGCACATTGACGGAATGTTCTATAGATAATTGGCCCGGGACAAACAGAGGATTGAATCAGGAACTGTATATCATTACTTTATGGGCACAAAGGAAACTAGGGGAATAGTTGACTTCAGTGAAGTGGAATTTATGTCTAGGCCACTTTACTGCCTTATTCTAAGATGGAGTCAAATTTTAAAATGGAGTTATTTAGGCCTCACATTTCCCCCTTCTCATGAAACTACAGAGGACCAATCATGGGCCTCTGGGGGCTAATTCTATTAGGTCTTCAGAAACTGGTTGGTACTGAGACCTAAGTACCATCAACTGTACTGTGTTAATGCGTTCTCTGATGAAGGATACCAACTTGTTAAGTATGCAAGGTCCAAATGTCAACAGCAGCAACAAGATGAGTAGAGGTTCCAATAGGGTAGAAATTAGAGTGGTCAACCAGGGAGAAGAATTGAACCAGGACTCGAACCAACCTTGATTCTGTTCCCGTTCTCATTTTCATTTAGCGAGACTTTCTCTAACCTTTGCCATAGATTCTTTGACCACTCCTGAATGGTTTATATAGAAACAACATTTTTCCCCCAGGGCGGCACAGAGTCCTCCCTGTTGTAGGAAGATTAAATCTAGGCCTCTTTTATTCTGGAGCACCACTTCCGCTAGGGAGGTTAATGACTCTTGAAGGTGTGTGATGGAGTTTTCAAGTCTCTCTATATCAATATCTATGGCAGCCCTCAGATCATTATAATGCTTGTTTTATAAGACTAAAAAGGAGGCCCCAGTTCCTGCTCCTGCCAAGCCCAGGCCTAGGAGTACTGTCAGGGTGATTGCTGTTATGGGCTCCCTTTTTACCCGACTGGGGCCCCCCACTAAATGAGCTAGGTGAGCATAAACTTCCTCCTCTGAATGATACAGCAGTCTAGGTACTAATTGCACCAGCACACGAACGTCCTTAGTCCGATTGAGTACTCCTCCATGTACACATGGGGTGAGCCCAGTAGAACATGCCCACCAACCATCTGAAGGGGGTATGAAATATTTTTCTGAGGACATTGAATGAGTCTGGCTACACAGGTGTTGGTGGGTGGGAGGCACATCACCTAGACATGTGCCTCGTCCAACCACCGACTGCAGGGTTAATCTAGCTGAACCCTTCTGCTGCCATCTGCATTGGCTAGGACTATCTGATTCAGTAAAACCCCCCAGAAAGGCTATCCCTTCATAGTAAAGGGGCTTAATATCATAACATAACCAACAAGATTGAGTAAGATCAGGTTGAGAGGCATTTAGGGTTTGGAAAGTTTGGACCATGAGTTTCCAGAGTGGTTCGTCTGGGTTCTGGCCCTCTCCTGGGTCCTTGTGAATCAGTTGAATACCTCTTAAAGAAAATAACAGCTCTTGATCACCAAGCTCAGTGAGCACTTCAGACTGGAGGTTAGGGATAATGGGAGGGGGCACCCCAAACATAATTTTAAAGGGAGTCAGTCCCATCTTATAGGGTGAATTGTGTACCCTGTAGAGGGCAAAGGGAAGGAGAGCCACCCAGTCACCGCCAGTCTCCAAGGCTAATTTAGTTAAGGTGTCTTTTAGGGTCCTGTTTATCCTCTCTACCTGTCCTGAACTTTGGGGTCTGTATGCACAATGTAATTTCCAATTTGCCCCCAGGATCTGCAAATCAAAAGTTCCCTCGGGGGGGCCATCCCTGCTCAAA